CCCACCGAAGGGGAGAACCATGTAGAGAAAAATGAGACCTGGGGTTGGAACCCTGTTGTCTATTCCTGACTCTCTGCCATTAATAAGCTGAGACCTTTGGCAAATCACCTTGCTGTATGTGTGTGTTTGCACGCATGTGCACGAGTCCTGGGGCTTGAATTCAAGGCCTGAGTGCTGTCCCTGAGTTTTTTGCTCAAGGTCTTCAGTCTACCACTTGAGTCACTGCTTCATTTTCTGGCTCTTTGGTTGGAGATGGATTCTCACAGACTTTGCTGCACAGTCTGGCTTCAAACTGCTATTCTCAGACCTCAGCTGCTGAGTAGTTAGGATACAGGCAGGAGCCACGAGGGCTCTTTCTTATCTTACTGAGTCTGGACAACGTCAGCTAATCTCTGAACTCTATGTATCAGAACTACCTTAGAATCTCCCGAAGTATAGCCTCCAGGCTCGAGGCAGGTATGAAGTGGAACTTAGATAATGTAACATTTACATGACAATGAATTTCAAAAAAGGGCCCCCAAAATATCTGCCCACAATCTTAAAAACTCAACAGAACCTCCCGCCCCCGCCCCCATCCTACCTATAGAGCCACTTTTAATCATGTTTTTGTTCTTCTTGGGGTTACCATCTTATTGCTAAACAACATGCTAGATTTTGTTGTTTAAACAACTTCCAACATTGTCTACTGTCTTTCTGCTACAATAGAGGACACAGTTCCCAAACCCACCCTCACCCCCAGTGGAGTTCTGGCATTGTTTCTTGGCAGCTGTATTTTAATGGGCTCCCCAGATGTTTCTGATGTAGTGGGGCTGAAGCCAAGGCCTCTTGCATGCTAGGCCAGTGCTCTATATCCTCCACCTTGGTTCTTGCTGCTGCTGCTGCTGCTGCTTGGCTCCTACACTTGCTGATCAGCCCTCTTCCCAGCCCCTGGAAGCTGGGTGTGGGAGATGCTGCTGCTCTGGGTTTTTATTTTGGGGATATATAGGCTCTTCTCAGACAGTAGAACCTCCTGACCCCCAGCTGCTAATTAGGATAAGCATCTCTCCTCATAGGACTACTGGAGCTGACTCTGGTAGATTGTTGCAGCTGTATCTTGATTATAAGAAGCAGGTGTATAATAATCAGATAGCAGAACACACAGAAACAAGAATGCATACGTAGAACCTCATGTTGCCACATGGATGACTCTCACAGACATCAATGAAAGAAGCAAGCACATCAGAATATATACTGTGTGGGCGCATTTGTGCAAATTTTACATCCAGGCAAAACTGATCAACAACAACAAAAGCACAGCAGAAACACGCACAACCCATAGACTAGGTCAGAACGGGTTAACCTGTGGGTGTTGGTGATTGGGGGAGGGGCTGGCAATAGTCTGTCTTTGATGTAGTGTTGTTTGCATGGGTATATCTCACTTAAACTTGAATGTGCCCTTATATGTTGTGCCCTATACATGTGTTTTATGAATGTCTTATATTGTTTTTGTGCCAATACTGGGGCTTGAACTCAGGGTATGGGCACTGCCCCTTAAGCTTTTTCACTCAAGGCTGGCACTCTACCACTTGAGGCATAGCTCTACTTCCAGCCTTAATCTCATGGATTTTCCTGCCTGGGCTGGTTTCAAACTGAGACCCTCACATCTCCTCCTGAGTAGCGAGGATTATAGACATGAGCTACTGACGCCCAACTGAATGTCAATGTCTTAGAAATATTCCCTTAAAAAAGAAAGGAAAAGAAAAGCAGCAAGATCCAGTGGCTCTCCTTCCCTCCCAACCATTCGCGTACACAAGTTTTTCCAGGCATGGGTTAAGGCAGGCACAGAAGCAAGAAAACAGGGCCTGGTGGGCATGAATGGGGAGGGAAGGGAAGGCTAGAGCTGAAATCCTGCTGGCCTGATAGATTTCAGAGTTCCAGTGTAGCACCCTGCAGAGCAAAGTGGCCTTGCTGGGTCAAGGAAGTAGCTGGCAATGAGGCCCAAATATGTTCCTTGGGAATGATGACAAGATAGCAGGCGACCAAGACTCATGTACCATCTTCCCCACCTGCTAGCAGCCAAGCTGTCCTGGGGGCGGGGGGAGGGGGGAAGGGGAGGAAGGCTGGTGTATGGGCCCCCAGCCCGCCTCCCCAGGCTGCTGGCCAACCTAGTGTAAATATTATTATACTCCTACGCATCTGAAGGACGTTAATTATTAAAACACATGCCACCCAGGGTAGTGCACTGTAATTAGGTTCAAATTAAATTAGCATCCTCTTGTAATTAGGACATCAATAACCACTCTTGAGGCTCCAGCTCCCCAGCCCCTCCCCATCACTTCCCAACATGGGCTCATGTAAGAAAAGGGGTCCATTGACTCTCTCCCCAGGACGTGGAAATAATCAAACCAATAAATAAAGCGAAGCAGCCATGTGAGGCTCACTTCCCCTGCTTGCCTTTCTGACTGGTCCTGCACGTAGCAGGGAGGAGGAAGGTGAGGGTCACTAGGGTAGGCAGAATCTCAGGCTCCAGCACCTCCCCAACAGCTGTCCCAAACCAGAAGCTCTGCTGCACTGGGCCTTGGACTCTGGAGAACTCCCAAGGCCTGCCAGACAAGCAATGCTTTCCTGTCACTTAAGTCCTGACTTCTCTCTCTCCCCTGTGAAGTCATCTTAGCCACCTAGACAAGGGGCTTAGCCCCTGGGAATCCTAGGGCACTGCCCACGGCTGTGTTTCACACATGCATGGTATCTGCTGCCACTTCATCTGATCCACATACTCACTGTGAGCCTAGAACTGGCCTTGGCATTCACTGGGCCCAATACTGTGCTTGGTGTTTTCTGGGTCTTACTCTCTCTGAAGTGGAGACATGGCAGGATGGATGATTTTGTTCAACTAGAATGGTGGATGGGGAAGCAGAATGGGGAAGAAGAGCAAGTTCTGTAACTCAAAGGAAGGGTTGGGGAGAAGCCCAGGTGGCCATTTGTGCTACAAAGGGCTGCCAATGTTGATGCTAATAAGACCAGCCAGGCTAACATGCATGCACCATGACACTATCTTTTAGTTCTGCACCCTCCCATGTGGCTTGCCTTACCCGGGTTCCAGGACAAACCTAAAGAACTCAACAGATGTGATCAAGAAAGCAACACCAAGCTGGGCCCACGCCAGACATGCAGCAGCAACACCTGGTGACTGCGCTGACCTTTGCTTCGACCAGCCTTGGAAAAGAAAGGAAATAAGAAGTGGGAAGGCTCAGGCATAATTTCAACTGGAAAACTAAGAAGGGTTTATCCTTGGGCACAGATGTAACCAAGGCAACTGTTACAAGAGGGAGATGATTTCAGACCCTTCTACAAAAGAGTAGGCTGGCATCTTGCCCCTCTGCCAATTGTGCTCGCTGTGAATTCACTGCATTCTACTGCTTGGTCTTACTGGAAACACCTGGGAGGTAGAGAAATGCATGAGATGGGCAAGCTCTTCTCCATGGACCAAAATACAATGAGGTCATGGTAAGAGTGTGCTTGTGTGCTGGGAGCAGGCCAGCTCCTCCAGGAGTGGGGATGGAGAGATCCACAAGAGCCACCATCACGTTCCTGCTCACTTGGTGGGCCCTCCAAAGCCTGCAGTCATGGGGAATGCAGTTCACTGGGCCCTGAAGGGTCAGACGCAAGCAGCACAAGCACGTGTCCTGACCAGCACTGAGGGGCTGCAGGCAGAACCAAGAGCTCAGGAGAGGCTGGTGTTCCTCCCCACTGTCCTTCCTGGGTCTTCTCATGCTTACCTTTCCTTCAAATGGGGCACCCTGAGTCCAAGAGGCACACACCTTTGCTTAAAGACAGGCATCCTAGGTAGACACCCATGTGAACCCTGGTCAGAACCATTGGAATGTTTGGGCAGGACCTTTGGTTTAGGAGGGAGAATTGGCCAGGCTAATCTGCACTGGCACTCCTACTGCAAGACTAAATAAGGCAGCTTGGAGTATCTCCCTGGATCAGAATGTTTGGGTAGAACAGACTGTCAGGAAGATGTGCCACCACATTTTACCAGAGTATGTGCCCCGGAGGGCCATGTGGATGACGGGGAGAGGAGCAAAGGGCTCGTCTGTTTTTGGTGCCAGTACTGGGGCTTGAACTCAGGGCCTTGTGCTCTTGCTTTTTCACTCAAGGCTGATGCTCTGCCACTTGATGAACCACAGTTCTAACTGGAGATGAGTTATCATCATCTTTTTTTAACCAATCTGGCTTCAAATCGTGATCCTTCCATCTCAACCTCAGAGTAGCTAGGATTACAGGCATGAGCCACGGGTGCTCGGCTTAAGAGCTCTGTAGATGAACTCCTCCTCATCCCTCATCTCCCCTCTATTTTCTCCTCTGGGTGTTTCCAGCATGTGTGGCAGGCTCTTTGCTGGGCACAATATGGCTAGGAGTGTCTTCCTGTTCCTTCAAAGGCTTCAAGTAGCTCTGGGCCAGCCCAGTCTTGAGGTCTTTGGGAGACAACTTGTTAGACAGAACAGAGCTAGGAGCTAGCATGGAGTACACCAGTCTGCCTCCGTAGGGGCCTGGATCCCTCCTAGTCTGGGCCGGCAGTCCAGCATTACTCTCTAGGCAAGATAAGGGGCACTGTGCCTATCCTACTGTGAGCCAGCCACAGCAGGATTGGGACCTCACCTCACAACTTCCTCATGTGAAATCCCTTGGGCTCCGGCAGGGCTGTCCTACAGCCAGCCCAGCAACCCCTGCTGGCTTCAGCCTGGGCTCTTCTGGCCCAGTGCTCTGAATCTGAGGTCTTTGAAGGCGGCTACAAAGAAGATGTTCAGCCTCAAGTATATAATGGCCAGCCATGGTGCCTAGTGGTACCCCCAGGTTCCAAGAGTCCCTTAGAGTGATGAACTGCCTTACTGCCCCAGCTGGCTAGGCCTAGAGATGTTGTAGCCAGGCGCTGGGGATCACCCAAGTGCTCAGGTCTCCTCCAGGCCTGGGATGCAGAGACCCCAGGCTCTTGGCTTCAGTGTGACAGGAAGGGCTGCAGACAGCAGGTACTACTTTATTTGGGCCTCAAAAGCTTTAAATACAGAATAGGCTGGAGGGCAGATGTGGACACGCTGGCATCTGAGAATGGACTGTCAGAGAAATCACATAATCAACAACTGGACAGAGCTGGGGAAGAAGGGCAGTCTAGGGTAAGAGGTGGTGCCACCAGGCAGCTGGCCTTGGGTGTCAGGATCACTCTCTTCACTAGGACAGTCTCTCATGGTTTTTCCTGATTTGAGGACAATTAAAAAAACAAAACAAAACAAAACCCCACAATCCCCCAAGTAAAAATACAAAATCATCTGGGAGAGCTTGTGGATGGCAGTGCCGTCATCCAAGAGGATGAGGATGATGACCTGCCCCCAGCCCCGATGCCACCCTACAGAGTGTTTCCATACACTGAAGCAAAGCTGGACTCGATCTATGCCCCCTTCCTCCAACTGGGTCTGGAGCTGAAAGCTCCCCCCCAGCAGGGAAAGAGGTTCTGGCGTGAGCAGTGCTGGGGGCCAGGGATGGTTCTTCTTAGCGGCTGTAGCCAAACTCATCAGCATCATCGGCTCGGAAGTCTCCATAGCGCCACAGGTTCAGCTGTGAAAGGACACAGAACACAGCTCTTCAGAGACATGGAAACGATGGAACCCACTGACCCCACAAGGCCAAGCCCGTAAACCCAGCACCTGACTGAGTCCCTGTAGTGAGAACTCACCCTGGCGCTCTTGGCTGACTCCTGGGCATTCAGGTATTCCGTGATCTGAGGGATACAAGACAGGGAGTGGTCAAGCTGGGGTGGGGCTTTCAACTGAACAGCCAGCCCAATGACCCTGCGCATGACTCTCCAGAGGAGCCCAGCTCCTGGAGTTTTCTGGAATTTTCATCCCATTCTAGGCTGTTCTATGTGCCTTGACTTTTGTTCCCATCATGCACACTGGTTACCTGTCCCATCTCTCCAAGTTTTTGATAAAGTATCACCTTAATACAGCATTAAATGATCCCATTTTATACTCCAACCCTCCTTCTTCTTTGTGCTGGTACTCTGGGGGTTGAACCTAGCCCAGGTGCTGTCACTTATTTTTTTCAGTCAAGACTGTCAAACTACCACTTGAGTCACAGCTCTACTTCTGGCTTTTTGATGGTTAACTGGAGATAAATGTCTCTCAGATTTCTTTTGCTTTGGCTGGCTTTGAACCGTGATCCTCAGATCTTAGCCTCCTGAGTGGGTAGCTAAGATTATAGATGTGAGCCACTGGTGCCTACCCCCGCCCCCCAACTCTTGATCTCCTGTACCGTACTTTTTCCATTGTGCTTATCATCTCCTAACATTCTATTTAATTTATTCATAATTTAATATTCTTGGATATAAGATCCATGGACACCCAGAGCTGGAAACTATCCATCTCTTCTCACTGACGCATGGTAGGCAGTCAGTAACTGTTTGCTGAGAGAACTCTTGATGTGTGTTTTTGCCTCAGGAACTGGAGCAAAGGAACTTGAGAAATAGCCAAGAAACATCTACAGAGATCTTCTATGGGGATCTGAAGATCTGAGTAAAACCACAAAGTCTCAAGAGTAGGGTTGCGAGGGGCGGTGACATACTTTTCTTGAGACACAGTAGCATTTCATACTAGTGTCTCCTCCTAAATGAGCCTCAGATATGGCCACCAACATCACTGGTCCACAAACCACCAAATGTGGTACTGGGACAAACAAAGTAAAGCAGAGCTGGACAAAGCAGAGCAGTGGGCTGAATGGAGAGGAACTGGGTTCTATCTGCTGCTCTCTTGCCAGTGCCAGCCTTGGGAAGGGGTCACTTGGGAGGTCCCAAGCCTTCTCTTTGGAAGGTTTATAGAGTCTCCTCATCTGGCAGGATCTGCATGATGGTGTCTGAGTATGCCTGACCCCACCCCAGGGTTTTGGTAAATGGAGGGCTGAGGAAATGCCCCTCCATCTGTGATAACATCTTCTGCCTGGCGTGGGACTTGGCGTAAGCCTGGAGGGTTCTCTCCACACAGCACACACTGGCCCTGCTGTACACACAGTGCTTATGGAGCCCAGGGAGGGCCTAGGACATGTACAGGGCTGAGTCAGGGGGCCGCTAAGCAACCTATTGGTCAATAAGTGAATAGAGCTAGGTGGGCCCCAAGTATTGCCTCCTCTGGCTGTGGTCAACCTCAGGAAGTAGCAAGCAGCTGGCCCACCCTCATTTCCTGAGTAGGAAGCCCTGCTCCAAGGTGGACTTCACTATCTTATCAATGGTGGCTCCCAGTCAGCTGGTCCTGGGAAGTTCTGGCTGACAGTACCCTGCCCCCTAGGACTTGGCACTGTATGCTAGAGAAAGGAAGTGAATGGGAGAGATGGCCGGGCAGGCTTTGACCCTCTCCATACCAGGCTTGGCAGTGCTCCCTAGCTGTCACCCAGGGCACATGCGAAGGGAAACTTTCCGCTCTAGTTTGCAGCTGCATTCTTAGTCAAACCCGCAGCCAATTAATTTGGGCTTTAATTAGACTTTAAAACCCCAACAATCTCAAATCCATTATCTTTCCTCAGCAGGGCCAGGAGGCTGGTGTACTCCTGGCTCCTGCACAGGCTCTGGGTGTAGTCTCCAGTCTCCTGTTGTGATGGTGCTGGGGAAGGGGAGACACTAGGGATATGCCCCCACAGGAGTGGGGGTCCCTGCCCACATCACTTACCACTTTCTGGAACTGTTTCTCCTTGCGCACTTCCACCATGACCAGCCCCTCCTTCACCAGCCCCAGCCCCACATCGCCCTTGGAATCAGCAAACTGCAGGGTGACGTGGGGGCAGCTGGCGCTCAGGTGCTCCACGTTGAGCAGGCACTGAGTGTTCTGGATGTCCCGGACTACGCTGTCCACGGCATCTGTGCGAGCGTCCTCCTAAGCAGGGAGATAGCCAGGTCAGTAAGCGCTGGACAAAGCCCACACAGCAGCTACTGGGGCCCTAAGGCCTGTCCATGGACCTCAAAGGACTCCCATCTCCCAGCCTAGATCCCTGCGTGTGTGCTATTCTTCTCTCTGGCACACCTGCCTTGTGTCTCGAAGGAAAAGTGGCTTCTCTGCCCCAAACGAACCCTGCGTTTGTTGCCCGGGCCCCTCTCAACTCCAGCTCCATGGCCTCATCACATCCCTACCTGTCTTTGCTGCCATCTTGGGCTCTCATCATCTTCATATTGCCCCTTCATCACAGACATCCTTTCAGCCCAATCTGTGATGCTGACCCTCTGGCATAGTTCATGAAAAGTGGGAAAAAGCCAATGGTGCTAATTCCACCTTCCTACTCACTTCTAGTATGCTGCTTCTGGCCAGGCTGCTCTGATTCTTTCCCCGAGCACCAGGCACCTCCCTGAAATACAACTTCAGCTGGCCACAGAAAACTGGATCTCCCCTTCTAGAAACCAGTGGCAAGCTAGGACCCAGAGCTTAGGTCCTGCCTTCCTACTGTGTATTCTTGCTCTGGCTTCCTGCTTGCTCTCAGGCCATGAGAATACCACACTTTCAAACCTCTCTCTTTCCACACCGTTCATTCTCACTGTACAATCTTGTACACTCCCAGAGATTTAACATTCAAATTGATAATCCTATATAGCTACCTTAAGTTCCCACAGTCCAAGCTGCTTCTCTTTTCCTTGGGTGGGAAATCTAGCACCACCTTAAATCTCTTCTCTCCCCTCCCTGACTCCATGTTGCCCGTGTCTAGAATCTCACTTGGATGGGTCTGATGTGGCTGTCATTTTTTCTAGCCTGGATTGTTAGGATCATCTCCCAGCCATTCCTTCAGTCTCCCCCCTCTATAATGCCACTGGAAGTAACTAAAAAGTAGATCTGAGCTTATCATGCTTTGGTTCATAATGCTACCACTTCCCCTCCTGCCTGCCAGGGCAGACAAGACCACAATACCTAGGCCCTAACTTACCTCTCCTTTCTCATCTCCTTCCACTGTCTGCAAGCCCCTTAGGATCCAGCTACAGCAGCTGAATCTCTGCTCCAACACAACCTCCTGGCTCACAGCAGGTTTGTTTCTCAAGAATTATTAAAAATGCTCTCATGTCACCTTGTCTGTGGAGCCTCCTCAATTTCCAGTTATGGTTAATCTCGCCCATGTCCTGAGACCTATCAGCAACAGACGACTCATCAGTCCCCATCTTTTCCTGCCAGCCTATGAGGGCTGCATCACTGGCTGCATGTCAATGGTCTGTCTGTTTTAGAAAGAGGTCGATGTGCAGACTCACGTCTTGGGGCACCTGGATGAAGGCGAAGGCATACTCTGTGGCTTGAGCTGGCAGCACGCGAGTGCTGAAGGCAGGAGGCAGGGTACCCAGGCGGGTAGATGGCAGGATCTCTCTCTGCAGAAGAAATATGAGGCCAAGAGCATGACATACTTGATGCCCTCTTGCTCTCAAGGACAACCCTCAGGCCAGGCCCCTGGGAATTCCACTGCTCGCCCCATCACTCGGTTCCACTCTTCCCCAAGCACAGGCTTTCCCAGCTGGAGAAGACTGGGAGGACAGGGATGAAGGCAGCAGTGGGTGGGGAGCCGTGACTCAGTCTGGGCCCTGTGCTGGCACACCTGGTGGCTCCTATTCAAATAATCATGACGGCACTGAACTTTGTTCGGGGCAGGGAACACACGACTGGGCTTGTGCATGATTTCTGGCCCAGGCAGGTAGGGTCACTCCAGCCTGGCACGACCTGGTTCACTGTGTGACAAGCTGGGAGCCTGGTCCATCACTGTGATTAGACTCTCATCCCTCGTTCTTGAAGAGAGATGGAAGGAATGAAGATGGCCACAGCCATACCACAGGTAGTGCTCCTCACCTGCCTGCTGCCTTATCTATAAGATGTCCCCAGAGGTTGTCAACAGATTCCCAGGTCCAGCCTATCAGCCTTTCTACCAAAGGTATCGTTCACTGGGTCACTTGGCTGTGCTTTTCCAGCCACCTACGTTTGGGGATGTGCTGGGATCCAAAGGAGGAAAAACACTAAGGTCAGGATAAGCACCAGGAGATATAGGGTGTCAAAGCCTTGAGCCCATTCTTCAAGATGTTAGGCTGAGGAGGAAGTATGGCTATGGCTGACATTCGTCCTTAGGGCTTACATGTGGGACCTGTTGGTGCTCCTAGGCCTCTCATAGACACCTGTTCTGCCTGGTCCCTCAGAGGGCCTGGCCTATAAACAGCAGAGACACTCAAAATGCACCAGTCTGTCAGCGAGCTGAGGGACCTGTGGGAGTTACATGGATTTGACTGAGGGGTTCCTACTTGATGGTCCCTCCCTTGCCTGCTCCTCCACCTCTGGTCCCCGACACTCACATTGCCATAGTCGATGTAGAAGACGTGCACTTTAGCAGGAGACTCAACTTTCTCGACTCGGGCGCGGTACCTGCAATGGCATCATGGGCAGAGCTCAAGGGATGGCCCTGAGGAATGTGGTCTTTAAGCAGGTGCCCACAACCTTCCCCTCCTGGGGTCTCTGTCACAGAGGGCATATCTTGGACTTTATGGAGGCCCAGCTCAGGGCACTGTGGCCACCATCTAATGGAGTCAGAGGAGAGCTAGAGGCAGAGGAGGGAGAGGGGAGCATGTGGAGCAGATTAATGTGTCCTTGGGGCATAAAGCAACAAGACTAATGACTAGATTGATGTCTGCTGTTTAAACCCAGCACACTAAACAGCAGCTGTAATTAGCCAGCAGATCTGTCTGGGAGGCCGCAACAGGGAACATATCCAAGTCACTTCGTCACCCTGGGAAGGCCACGGGGCCTACCCTGGGTAGATCACACACAAATGGCCTTTTATGGGCCCGTGAGTGCTACTGCTTCTGTCCCAGACAGCAGGGGTGGAGGGTCAGATGGCTGGTCTGTGCTTGCTGTGAACTGTACCCCTCTCCCTCCCATGACATCATTCTTCCTACGAGGGGTGAGAGCTATGTCGGACAGTCCCAGGCAGCCAGCCTGCCAGCACTTCCACCACGGAGTTCCCCAGGGCAAAGGGAGGAATACCACTTTATCATCTGACCTCGAGGCTGGCTGGCAAGAGGCGTGTGGGGCAAAGTGCAGGCCCCAGATGGGTGGTGAGGAGGGACATATGGGAGAGCTGGCCGAGACTAACACTAACATCACAGCAGAAAGCAGACACTAAAGCAAGTTTCTGAAACCTAGCTGTGGCTTTGCAAACCCAGGCCCCAGGATAGTCCTGCTCACCATTCTCCGTCTACAAATTTGGCAATGCAGAACTCTCCCCGGCGGGGAGCATAGGAGCCCTCCACAGGGGGGTGGCTGGAGATGTCACTGCGCATGTTCTCCATCAGCTTCTCCAGCTGGGTGCCTGTGGGAGGAAGAGGGAGGTAAGACCAGGGGGCTTCATTCTTGGATGGTAGGGAATGGAGCAAGGAATGACATTCTGGAGGTCACCAGAGCCCTGATGGTTTCATTGCACCCCCCCTCCCCCGCCCATGTTGTGAAGTCCTCTGTGGTCTCCGCTCAAAAAGCTTCATGCTGTCCATATGTAAAAGTGTGACTGGTGATACTTCCAACCTTCCAACCTACTGGCCAAGACTACCGGGGCCTCCGGGAAGGTGCCTGAGCCTTGAGCCTTGACTGAGGAAGCAGGCAGAAATGGAACAAGGCTAAAGCCAAGTAGCCTCCTTCAGGGTGAGAGCTGGACAGCGTGGACACCAGAATATGAGTAGCAAGGCTACTCTGCCCAATGTTTCCTGGAGCAGAAGTAGAGATAAAGGAAGGATCTTGTACAACCTTGGACAGGAAAGGAGTTCAGAGCCATGAAACATGGAGAGTTTTGGGAGCCAGGATCTGAACTCCAGTGTACTCAATCAGAGTCACTGTGATGCTCATCACCCTGTGAGATCCACGCTGCATGGAAAGCAGAACTTTCAGTGCTGTCAGGCTAGACTACCCCCTCCTCCCCACCTTCCATTCTTATGACCCATCTTTCCCCCCAGATAGCTAGAATGATGGGTACATGCCACTGCAACCAGCTATTGGTTGAGAAGGGGTGTCATATGTGTATATCTGGGCTGCCTCAAAATACAATCTTCCATATCTCAGCCTCTCAAGTAGCTAGGATAATAAGACCATTGGTGCCCAACACATAATGCTTCTTTTCAAGAAATCCCTGTTGCTAGACTACTGGGGTCAGTTTTCTTCCCTAGCTCCTTCCTGCTGGGTGCTCTGCTAGGCATCAAGTTCCCAATGGTTTCAGCTGAGAAATTCTGACTCAGGCTTTATGGCCCTCTGACCCTGATTCTAGCTCAGGTTCAGAGCTTTTTTGCTCCCTTTTCTATCAGAGGTGGACAGGACTGAATGTGTGGTCTAAGTGTGTGACTCCCCTTTCTCTTCAGGGCTGAAGGCCATGCTGGAATAGGTGTAGAACACATGTTATTGTTGTCACGCTTGCCACCAGTGGCCCTGTAAGTCCCTTGTCTGTGCTTTTGTTTCTGACACTACACTATGAGCTCCAGGGCACAGACTATACTCACTTGTTTCTATTTATTCACACAAGACCTAGTAGAATCCCTAGTGCATGGAGGGTGCTTAATAATTCAACTGCACTGCAAATGATCTCTGCATATGCACACATGTCCATTCCTAGGCTTCAGCCTGGCCAGGGCCCCAGCTTCTACCCGAACCAGGGTTCTGAATAGGAGAAACTCTTAGGCAGTAGCCGTCCTTCCCTACCCATTGGTGAGCACTCAGGGCCCAGTGACGGAGTGTTCCTTGCCCATAATTGTACTCTAGAGACTACGAAGCCTCTACATTGACAGGTTGTCCCATACTTGGTCTAGTCTTCTTTTGTGGTTTACTTGGCCCTCAGGCAATAAAATCAGTCCTGTACTTCCTGCCAAGAGCCTCTGGGTGGTCCTTAGCCTATGTCTAGATGGTCATATTCACCCAAGGTCAGTATTTTGGTTTAGCTGATGTGAAGGGTTAGAGGAGGTCCCCCAGGAGGAGGCAACAGACCCCAGAGTTCATTTTCATGGATGTTCTGGAGCCACCCAAGGGCAGCAGGATCCCGGCACCACAAACCAGGTAGCCTGCCCACGGTGCCTTAACCCTTTTCTTCTACCATGCCCTAGTTTTCTTTCTTTCTTGAATGTCACTCTCTTCAGTGTCCTGGCTTGACAGGGCAGCCAGGTGAGGCTCTATGATAAGGCAGTCACAGGAACCCTCAAATTTTGCTCTTTGGGGATTTGGGGGTTAGCTACGGTGGGTCTTGCCTATGTGGAGCTTGCATAGATTTTTTGTACTCTGGGTAGTGTCTACTTAATGCTCCTCTTCTCCCAAGCTCTGAGAACCATTCATTCAATTTTTTTTTCTCTTATTATTAGCTTACATTACACAGAGGGGGATTTTATAGTTAAATTTCCACACATTTACAATAGATTCCAAAAACAAACAAACAAACAAAACTCACCCCTCTATCACTGTCCTTTCCCCCTTCTCTCTGAGGGCCAATAAGATTGGCTTTTCTGCTCTTACAACCCAGATGTGGGGGTAGGCCGCATCATGGGTTCATTTCCAAGGCCATTGCTGGGACAGCTTTCACCAGGACTGTGGATGACCTTAGAAGAACTGAATCCCAAAGGCTCATAAACTCCATCTCCACCCTCCCCTGCTTTTTCCTTTCCCAAGCAGAGCCAGCCCAGGGCAAGGAACGGGCAAGTTTTCCTTGGTGAAATGACATTGCCACAAAGGCAGCTGCCTGGGAAATATCATTAGAGAGGAAGTGGCCAAGACAAGGCCGTTGGCAATCTGGAGTGGACCTGGGGTGAGGGCAGACAGGCTGGGCAGGGCTATATCCCACTTTCCAAGTGGCTGCCCCCTCAAGCGCCAACATCTGCAGCCCCTCTGCCTGGATTTAGCTCCCTGGACCCAGAGTAGGCTCTGAGACTTTTATTCTCAACTCAATTGTTTTCTTGCCCAGGGTGGCATGAAGAGGAGGGAAGTGGAGGAGTGAAGGTGGAGGTGGGGAGTTGGGCCCGCTGCTGTCAGGAGAAGTCTTTGCTCCTTGCAAAGCCCAAAGTCTGTGCCTTAGGGACCCTGGCCAGTCACAGCTATCAGAGACAGGAGGAGAGGGTCCTTCACAAAGACTGCCAGGGGATAACTTTCCCATGAGCTTGCCAGTTGCCATGGAAACTGGTCACTACTCTGGCTGTGGTAATCTCTGGAGAAGAAGAAACCCAGGCAGAAGCCAGCCCAGGCTCCCATCCCTCTTGATGCACCCCTCCCCTCTGCAACTGGTATAAGGGAGGCTGAGCTGCCCCAGCCAGTGTTTCCTGACCCTACATAGGCAATCTGTTCCTCGCCTGCTGACAGACTACCAAAGGCACAAATCCTCAGACCTGGACCAGCCTGGGGTCTCTAGGAGCAAAGCCATTACCTAAGAGTCTCAGCACTGCCCATCCTCAGAGAACCCACTCAGGCCTGCTGCAGACCTGGGTACACTCCAGGGTTAACTTAAAAGTTGCTGAGATGACCCTGACATCCAGGGGGCAGAAGCAGCATGAGCCCTGGGGAGGATCCTGGAGCCCCAGGCTGGGCCCCTCCCTTCGGCTGGAGTCGGCCCAGTGGGTCAGGCTGGGACCTGGCAGCCAGCAGTGCCTGGGCACTCACCAGTCTCCACATCCTGCACGTAGAAGTGCAGGTCGTCAGTGATCTCGGTCACAAACACTGGCTTGTAGCTGGCTGATCGCTCCTTCTCCTCGAGCACAGGCATCACCTCCTCCACGGGCTGCTCCTCATAGTGGGCCCAGACCTGCAGGTGCGGCAGCAGAGGGCAGGGCAGACACGAAGTGCGGTACTAGTGGATACCCGGAAAGGGGCTGTGGGCAAATGGAGCCACTTGGGGAGTGGGGATTCGTGTAGGAGCTACTGGGCCGAGCCCCTGGAAATGGAGGAAGGCCCCCTGAAGCTCTGCTGGATCCAGTGTTTCTCAGAGTGTGACGTACACCAGAAGCAACTAGGAACTGATTGCAGGCTCTGGGTCCCACCCCAGATCTACCAAATAAGAAAAAAAGCAGGCTCCGAGGTGATCTTCTCGTACATTGAAGTAGGAGGACCCCTCAAAATAGGATTCCATGTCCCCACCTCTTGTCACTGTGCAGGGTCAGGTGTGCCAGCCAGTCTGGGCTCCTCATACTCCTCAGCACCTGCCACGGCTCCATCCCTCTCACCTCCAGCAGGCTGCCCTGACCTGGCCCTCTCCACCCTTCCTTCTCTCTTCCTTCCCCAAGCCCTATGCTGTCAGGGCTGCAGTGGCGCAGAAGCTGATTCAACGTGACAGCGCGTCAAGTCCAATCCTGCGGCCAGAGATTATCCAAGTAGTGAAGTCTGTCAGAGCAGGAGAAGAGGTAGCTTTCCAGCTGAGCAGCAGGAAACGGGTGGGAAGTGTGGGAACTGGACCACACATGGGGTCCAGCAGACACACACAAAGCCCAGGGTTGGTCTAAGCATCTAGAAACTTTTGTTTGTCAGGTACCACACACTGCATGTCCTCCAAATACCAAATCACTTAATCAGCACAGCCCTTTGAGTGGCTATGATGTTATCATTATTTTACCAATGGGAACTGGGTACACAGGACACAGGCTTGCAGTCAGGAGTGGTAGAACTACATCCTAGAGGAAACAGGCAGCACTGAACAGTGGGAAAAGCTTAGATGTAGCCTCTTGCTTGACTTACGTTTGACTTCGATCTAGCCATGTACATTCTCTGGGTCTCCTTTCTTCCCCTGTAAAATTACCCAGCATTGTGGTAGGTAGCCACCAGCTGGGTGACTCCCAGGAGTTGAAGAGCAGGGATGCTGAAATTACAGAACTTCCTTGGGTGACGGTTCCCAGACCCCATACATTTTCTTTTTTTCTTTTTTTGGTATGGGGTTTTGAACTTAAGGTCTCAAGCTCTTGCTTACTACTTTTTTTCTCAAGATGGTACTCTACTACTTGAACCACACCTCTGCATCTGGCCTTTTGTGGCTTTATTAGAGATACACTCTCATGAACTTTTCTGCTTGGGTTGGCTTCAAACTAAGATCCTCGTATCTCAGTCTCCTGAGTAGCTAAGATTACAGGTGTGAGCCACCAGCTGCTGGCACACTTCTGCTTTTAGTGTAGTATGTATTTGTGTTTTATCAGAAGAGGAGGAAAACAATAAGAATATTTCGAGTCCAAGGAGAACTGGGGATGGCTGAAACCTATCTAGACCTAAGCCTGGTGCCATTCAACTGTAGTGCCTTCCACGTGGCACTTGCAGGCCTCTGTCTGTAGCATCACAAATAACTCCTAACCCTTTCTTACCTCTCAGGTTCCAGGCACCTAACATCTGTCTGCATCACTAGTACCACTGCCCTCATCATCAGCATGTAGTCTCTGGCCAGCAGGAGAGGAGGCAGGCTGCAGGGCTCTAATCCACAGCTTAGTCTCCATGCAGATCCTAGATTCTTAGCCTAATCTCTTAGGAGCCCTCTGGCCCCAAGGGAAAGGAGACCTTTAGTGTGATGACTTCCCTGTCAGAGAGTTTTGGGGAACAGCCATGTAGGTGTCCAAGGCCTATGTCTTGATGAGGATGAAGCTTTCTTCCTGGGCCTCCCTGCTTATAAGTTTTCCAGACAAGTGTCTACTCAGCCAGTCATTCTTATTGACTGGGCTCCCAGTCCTCTGGGACCCTTGGACTTGGGATCGATGGACTTGCACTGAAACTGCTTCTAAGGTGAGACTGTCATCACTACCTTACATGGACTGGCACTAAAGCCTTGAGCCATCAGCCAGTCATCCCTGACTCAATAGTCTGGCCCCTTCTCCACCATCACCCAGGTCTCCCGTCTCTCAATTTCTTAATGCTTAATTTCTGAGATCTCTGCAGTGGCCCTAACCTTCTCTGCTCTTTCACTCTTCTTTCTAGCTCCCCTCTTCCTCAGCACTCAGCCTGGTAAAGATACAGGGCTCAGGGCTAGTTTGTGAGCCTGGGACTAGGAGCCATCCAGAGCTTCTATCCTAACCCCATCAGCGTCCCAAGCTATGAGGGCAGGTGCTCTTCAGCTGTGTTGATTGACTGGGAGCAGGCTGACAAGGTGAGAGCAGAGACTGCTAATGAGTCCTCAAGTAAGAGAGCCTCAGGGGACAGCATCCAGCTTTGAGTTTCCTCTCTAGGGACGTGGGTGGAGCTTCACGTGAAGCTGGCTCAGGTGGGCAGCACGCTGAGTTCATGATGCTAACCAAAGCCTCAGGGATGGCCTTCGGTCCTCAGTGTTGGGGTCAAGTTGGGCATGCTGCCATGTGAGCTGAGGACAATGAAACCAAGGTTTCTCCATCCAGAGTAGCTGGAGCCTGAAGGTTGCCAAGAAGCACCCAAGAGAACAAGAAGGAGAGCTGCTTAGGGAAGAAAACAATCCTGTTCTGAGAGAAGGCTAAGCTTGGCCCTTTGGATGGTGAAGCCACGAGGATTCCTTCTCACTCCTGGAGGACAGCTCAGCTGTTCCCTGTGATTGGCAGCCAATAGCCCTAAGAGAGATGTCAGTGCAGTCTGGACCAAGTAGTTTCTTGGTGGGATGGAGTGAGTCAGCTGGGCTGGGCTACCCAAGTCCCTATCCTTCACTGACATAGCCCTTCTGTAGAGCTTGTGCACAAGGAGACAGACAACAGTCCATAGCTATTCCAAGCCTCTTGGGGCTCAAATCCCTAATGCTTTGTCTTGGGAAATTCCCTTGGTAGATAAACTTCTTGCTGGACCTCATCTAGGGAAACTCAGACTCTTTCCAGAAGGAACACTACTTGTGTATACAGACAAATAGTGCCTTAGGTTTCTACCCTTTGACTCTTGGCATAGGAAAGGCTGGGGAAGGACCCCACAGTCAACATGTTGGGCAGAGGAGATCTGAGTCTGATCTAAGCACAGCAGGGCCCAGGGACCCTGGGAGACCATCCATGAATGTGCCCGGCCCAGCTCTTGGACCACCTCAAAGCCGTTAATGTGAAGAGGCTCTGTTAGCTCTCTGATTGACAGTAGGGTTTATGATCTTTCTGCATCAAGGCTAGCGCTAAGATGGAGCTCTGTCCTAAGGCAGAGCTCGTCTCTGACCCTCTTCAGTCCTGGCTGAAATCCAAGGACTGGCACAGCAGGAAATACTGTCCTCCTTAGCCAGGCAAGTTCCTGTCTTATTCGGTCCCCTAGGCACTACTGCAGCTGCTCCAGGAAAGGAGACTACCATGCCCAGCACAGGCAGGGCTGGGCCAGTCAGCAGTGGAGGCTGTCTCTCTTCCTGGTCTCCCCAGGGGGAGCCCTGGCCCTCTCTCTTCCCAGTACTTCCTCCCAGGGGAGCCCCAGGTCCTCCTCCTGGCAAGAGATGGGGAATGTGGACTGGGTTTCCACTGGCTAGAGCCTTTCTAAATCATGTTTAATATCCCTGCTCGGGGGTGGGGCTGGCATGAATCCAGAGTGGCTGCAGTCAAGCCCTCAGCAGGAAAGCCAAGCTTAATAAAAGCCAATCAATGGCCAATACAGCTCTGTCCAAGGCCCTGCTGGGCAGGAGTGCGTGTGTGAGCGAGCATGCGTGCGTGCGTGCATGCATGCATGTGTGTGTGTGTATGTGTGTGTGTGTAACAGTGTAAGCAGCTGCCATCAGGGCTTTCTCCCAGCTACTAAGGCCTTTCTAGAACCCCTGAGGAGTAGGTGTGGGGGGGTCACTCTCTATCAGCCTCCTGCAGAGCAGGGGAGGGCACAGGGAGGGATTAAACCCAGCAGGGAGGCATCTAAATCCTTGCAGCTGGGAAAGCAGCATGGTCAGGCTCACAGAGACAGACATACTAACAAACATTCACACACACACACACACACACACACACACACACACACACACACACACACACACACACACACAATCACACTACTACCCAAAGATTTCCTCACCTGCTCCATCTCACAAAAACTCTTGGAATTTCCTTCCTTTACTCATTAGCTCATAGATACAAATAGTGATACATTCTAATGTGAATAAAACCCCTTACCTTGCTGACCCAGTTTCTTCCAGCTAAATCAGCCCTAAAAAGGGTCACAAGTGAAGCAAACTATCTCCCACACCGGACACCCCCTTAGGTTACAGTCCCCAGCTGCCCTCCAAATTCTTGCTGAGAGTGGCAGCTGCAAAGCTCTGCAAATGCTGTGCCCATGAGCCAGCCACCAGGAGGAGGAAAGCCAGCCTGGACCCTCAGGATTCTTAAGTGGATGGGGATTTGAAGGAGAGAGACCCAGGAGGCAAGCCAACCCTGCCACCGAGCATCATGCACTGCATTTTAATGGGATGAATAAAAATGTGCAGCCTGAGTAAGTAATTAATCACTGCTAATAACTCTTCATCATCAAGTGGCACCAGCAAAATGACAACTTGAGTTTTCAGACAAACCTCCTATATAGTATATAAGAATCCCAAGGTTCAACCTGGCAAGAAATTTAGCCCTCCATCTCAGGCCAGGTTCCACTCCCTGGTCTTCCCTGCAGCCTTCCTGGGCCCCTACTAGGAAAGGATGTTAGCACAACGCCCACCTTTAGTCCTCAGCTCCACCCCTACCTGGGCTCCTCCCAGCCCGAGAGCTCCTTTTCTCTCCCTCTCTCAGCCCAGACTCACCAGAGTATGCACTACCTCACTTCCTACCCCCAGATCCTTCTGCTGCCTGAATAGGACAGGTGCCATGTGCTCCCTCTCCTGGGAAATATGGCCCCTCTAATAAACCTTATAATAATCTTTCTTGTGTGCCTGCCTGCCTGCCTGCCTCTGGGTGGTCCCCTGGGATGGACATGAAGGATCCTTTCAAAGGACTCACGTGAGGAAGTGGTTTCTAGGCTGAGATGAGATGTCATGTGTTGAGTAGCCAGAAAATAGGTTCAGAGCCAGGTCTTCCACTCAAGGCCTTGGCCTCAGGGGCTGCCAAGCAAACCATGAGCCTTCCTCTCCCCCACTCCAGTCCCCCCCCCCCCCCCCCCCCCCCCCGCCCAGGTCCAGCTCTGTACCCCTGAGGCCCTGGTCCTGTTTTGGCTTCCAACAGCAGCCAGCGGACACAGGAGTGGCAATCTTAAGTCCAGCTGTCACAAGAAGGACATCCAAGAGGAAGAATGGGACTCCTTTCCTGATGCTTCTCCCATTGTGCTGGGAAGACAAGAGCCAATGGGAGCAGGAACTAGAGCACAGGGAGTGGGAAAGAGCTCTTCTGAAGCCATGGGGCTGGCTCCTTCAGGACCTGGACAGTCCCTTTTTCCTGTCCTTGTTTTCTAAGCTGCTTCCTCCTGCAGTCCATCACCTGCATTTTCCCGCTACCAAAAGGTGGCTTGCCTGCTCTCATTCCCAGGGGATAGAAGAGACAGGAGGGCCATCCCTGGCTAGTCCCAGGAGGAAGATGGAAGGCATGAGTGAGTGGATTGGGGAAGAACACGGTGGCTTTTAGAAGCACAAAGCCCCCCACTCCTGCTGGCAGGTGTCTGGATCTTGGCTGTGGGAGATGAGTTTTGAGCCAGATGGCTGCCCCATGGGAAGGAAACGTTTATTCCTGGAATAAATTTATGGCTCCGCCTGGCTGTCCCATGAAATCCTCCTCAAGCTCAGAGAAGCCTTGACAAATTGGTGGCCAGCTGATTTATCCCCATTATTGGGGCTGAGCTGTAACTCAATGGAGACAGCCTACTCTGGGGGTGCAGGGCCCAGTTCCCACCCTAAACCACCAAGTTCTTTAATTGTCAATTTGTTTCCAAAGCTGCTTTGTGGCCCCCCCCCCCCCCCTTGCCTCTTCCATGCAGTGTCTGCAGAGGCTGATGGGCTGTAAATCTGCTGTCTTAACAGCTTTATGCATCTCCTGGAAGCGCTTCCCAGCAGGGGGATGTAAAGGAAATTAAGAGGGGGCACTGGGCACTGAAGGAGCTGGGCCAGGGCTAGGGAAGGAGGGCAGCTCTAGACTCCTCCTCCCTGGGAGACCTCAGTCCTTTTTCTTCCTGCTCCAAGGTCACTTTTCATAGAGTGTCCCACTCCTGCTGCAGGTCCAGGTCCATCACAGGCTATGGCGAGGGTTGCCTGTGTTGGCCGCTCTCCCTTGACTGTGTGACAACGCCCTCCTCAGCTACTCAGTGTGGGGGCAACGGGCTTGGTTCTTAGAGGCAGACATTTATGGAGGGCGGGGGAGAGTAGGCATGTGCTGGGGAACTAGCACCACACTTGTTACCTTCTCTTTCTTCTGCTTGGCGGCCTCTTCAGCAGACAGCAGGGATTTGTAGTAGGCACTGCGTTCAGCGGTGAAATGGACCTTGGAGAGCGCCTGCTCCACCAGCAAGACAGACAGGTTAGCGCCATCCATGTGCAGCCAGCCGATGAAGTTGCCGGCCTTATCCATGCTCTCTACTTCTACCTCCACCTGGGGACAGAGACATGGGGGGTGTCAGCTGGTGAGGACAGTCCTGAGTGTGCAGGGGAGGCCAGTCAATTGCCTCGACATTTTTGCTAACGTGGCAGAAACAGCTGGAACCAGATTCATCACCTCATTCTTCCCCTTCCTTTCCTTTTGGAGAGTACTGGGTTGAATTTCCCTCTTCTTGGCTTGGGTGAGGGAGAACTCTACCAGCCATGTGTACACTCAGCTGCAGGTCAGAGTGATCCTCCATAAGCAGAGGGAGCATGGTGCACCCACCCTTCTTCAGCACCCATTCCCAGTGTGTGCAAGGAAGACAGGAAGGCCTCAGGGAACAAGGCAATCTCTAGGGAAAAGAAGACTGCATTCTCTGTGGAAGAGCTGAAAGGATTACTGTTTAATGAAGGTCATTAAAGTGCCTTTGAGAGAAGAGACTGGTAAGGCAGGAATAGTGTTAGCTCATAGGAGTAGTCGGGAGCAACCCATAGGTGACTCCTGAGAAGGGGCAGCTGGAAGAATGTGGTCACTACAATAAACTCGGACCCCGACTGCTCTGCTCTTCCTTCAGGATGGCCTCAGGATTCTGTCCTTGGTGGTGGCTAATGTGCCCCTGCCTCAGAAAGGCAATGGCCCAGGACAAATTCCTTCCTTGATTCTCTCGTGACCTCATTCTTCCCCTGCTAAAGGGACTATAAAAGCCTTTGCTGCTAAATGTAAAAACTTGTATTAATTTAAACAGCTTCAAGCTCGATTAAGCAATAAAATGAATGTCTAAATACCTGGGAATTCTCAAAGCCTGAGCTAGAGCTGGTGGAAGAGGGCTAGGAGGAATGAGGGTGGGAAAGCGGGAGAGGCAAGGGGACATGACTCTCCAGAGGTACAAAGAGAAGAGAGTGGGGAGCAAAAAGAGGCGGCCAGGGAGACAGGACCTGACCTCCTCCCATTCTTCAACACTGTCTTCCCACTTGAGGCCCACTGCTAATTCTTTAAGTAGAAATATAAGTTCAACAATCCTGAAATTGGGGAGTGGTACAGAAGGGGAAATGCAGGATCAGACCCAGTCTAATTGGTTGATTTTGTAGGGAAAAACTAAGGCAGGGCGGACACAAGTAGAACAAGTCAGAGCAGAGCCTCTGCTAGAATGTCCACAGTTCCTCTATCTTAGCCTCCAGCATACAGGCTTTGCTTTGTCTTCTCTTAGCCTAGCAATTAACTTACTGAAGGACATACACATTTGGGCAGGTTGTACTATGTTCAAAGCCTCACATCCATCTTGCAAAGAGTTCAGGCTGTGCTGCAAGACAGAGCCTCCTGCAGGGAGAGGCCTAGGCAGGAGGGAAAGACTGTGGAGGTAGGACAAGAACTGATACGTCACTCTCAGAAGACCTCCTCCTTTTTGTCTTAACTTGCCAAGTTTTACCCAACGTGTGATCTCAGAGAAATTTGGAGGAGATGGCAGCAGCCACAGGCACGCTGCTTGTCTTGTGTTTGGAGGCTCAGGGGACACAAGCCCAGTGAAAAGCAAATGGGGCTGGTTCAATTCCCGGCCAGCACAGGGCCCAGGCCCACAATGCACCACTCTCCCTATTCCCTGATCTTTCATCTTCCGGTTTTAGCAGCCAAGTATGCTTTTCCTAAGATCAAGGCTGGCTGCCCTGCATAGCCATATAGCTTCCTTCTAGGCCCTTGGGCAGTTTGCAGTGGGCCAGAGTGGTCCTTGGCAGCAGGTGGCTAGGATTGATGTAAGATGCTCAGAGATGTGGCCATAGTCAGATCCTAAACTGACACCACGATCTAAGGTTGGAATCCAGGTGCTTGCCTTTAACTACCACACTTGAGGCCAACCTGCCAGGAAGTAAGCAGTAGGCTCCTCTTGAAACTCCATATATACCCAGACTCTCTCCACCTGCAATCGGCATGCTATCTTAAGCTTGACAAGTCCCTGGGCCCAGCCAGCAGCTGAGGAAAGAAATCTCTGGCCTTGGGCACTGTGTGCTGCCACTGGATCCATCTCTGGTTGTTGAGGGAGATAAAGCTGTCGCCCACGGGGCTCTGCTTCCCCTTTCATTACAGCTGCCACCACCGTCGTAATTTCTCAATCAAACACAGGCTCTCAGGGGAAGGTGGCTGGGCTGGTGTTCCTGCTGGTTCCTATACTCGCTTGGTTCCCAGCCTCTCTTGCCAGGTTCTGCACTAGGTTCAGTCTTCTTCTGGACACACCTTGGCCTGGGTAAGTGCTGGAACTCACTGACTCTTCTATGGCAGAGGGTTAAGCAAGGAGCTCCCAAGTGTGTGTATTTGCCACCACATTCCTCTTTTATACTGACTGCCAGGAACCAGTGGCCTAGCTGTAACATCATTTGGATCCATGTCTGTAACAAGCTCTATTTCTTGGTTTAACTCTAATTCTTAATTTTCTCTGATATTTCCAAGTAGTTGTAGTAGTAGTAGTAGTAGTAGTAGTAGTAGTAATAATAATAGTAAAAAAAATGAGCCAGGTGGCTACTTGGGAGGCAGAGGCAAGATCATTTAAGCCCAGCTTATACACACATAGAAAATAAAGACACAATAGATACACAGCTAGAATCCATCCTTGTTATCCATAATAGTTTTATAATGTGGCCATGAACACTGAACTAGAAAATATTGAATTGTTGCTACCAGGGAAAGTACAAGGCTTGAGTTCCTATGAGCCTCTGGTCACCATTTTTGTCAACTGACTAATATATAACCTTGTTGTAGATGTGTTTCTGTTTAAATACACCCACATTAAATACAATGTATATTTGTTGATTCATTTACACTGAAATCTCTGCCAATAGCAAGCTACCTTAGGTCAGGTTTGAATGAAGTTTACCTAGCACACAGATTTTCTCCTTAAGGCAAGTAGCTGTCTTCTTGTAGCATTATTTGCTTGGGATCATTTTGAACTACAAAATTGCCAACGAAAAGTACAGAAAGCATGGCACTAAATAGACCTCAAAAAGGACATTTAGTCATACTCCTGAGAGCAACAACCAGGGGCAATATTGCCTTATTCAATGTAACATAAGAATGTGTTTACTAGGTAACCCAATGCTTTATTTGTTTTCCTGGTAATACTGGGGTTTGAATTCAGGGCCGCCTTGCATGTGTTATGTAAGCATCTACTATTTAAGCCATTTCTCCAGTCCCTTACCCCTTTCTATGCTTTATTTTACAATAGGGTCTCATGTTTTTGCCCAAGGCTTGTCTTGGACCATGATTCGCCTACTTTTGCTGACCAGTGGCTAGGACAGGGTCTTGCTAGCATTTCCCTCAGTAGAGACTTGAATTGTGATTTTTTTCTGAGTCTCTGCTTCTTAAATACCTGAGATTATAGGTGTATAGTACTGCTCCAGGCGATGACTCAAATATATGTATACGTATACCTATGTATGTTTTCATATATATATACACACACATATATGTATATGTATATATTTGCTATTCTGTACATACCCACAAATTGCAAAAGCACAAGAACTGACCTTGAGATTGTAAATAAATTTTAGTTATACATAATCTGTAAGAGCTATATATAGAGAGAGCTATTCCTACCAGATGCCTCAAACCAGACAGAGGAGTTAGGAGAGGTGTTTTCCTGACACATAAAAGATAAATTCACTCTTGTCCAACTGGCTAGTGTGAGCATTAACTAGGCCTCTATCCCATGGAGTGTTGTGTAAACTTCAATGCTCTGTAATAGTTACCTGTCTCTTCGGCATCTCAGAGCATTTCAGAAGATAACCGGAACCACAGTTTCCGTGAAGGCCATCCCACAGTGGCAGGTGACACCAAAGGGTTTGGCCCTTGGATAATTGTGGGCTTCCAGAAAGCTGGGGAGCAAAGTTTGTGTGCATGTGGGCATTTGTAGTATATGCATGTGGTGGACATGGCCTTGGAGGTAGTGTATGCAGGGATGTAAATAGTGTTAGCAAGGGACAGTTGGTGGCTCTTTTCTTCAGTCTCTAGATAGTCTCCTGTCTAGAGCACATGTTGAAGCTTCAGAGGTGCAGGGCTCTGGGGGAGGTGAGCACTTCCTGAGAGATTCTGAGTAGGGTCAGATGGTGCCACCCCGAGGAAGTGGTATAACAAGTAACAATGAAAGTGGGCAGCCAACATGCTGGAAAGTTGGCTGTGACCCTCAAGACTGAAGACACTGTGGGACTTCCTCACTTGCCTGGTCTGTGAGTACCTCTGGCCCTCTACTTCTGGCTATTTGCAAACTGGGGGTGGGCTGTGTGGCTGTTGGACATGTGGTCTGGACCAGTCCTATGATCTATGTTCTTCCAGGATTCAACATCACTCTCCCTGAGCAGAAATCAATCACTGATTCATTTACACCGAACTCTCAGCCAATAGCATGATACCTCAGGTCAGGCTTGAATGAAAGTTTATCTAACACACACATTTTCTCCTTAAGGCACATTCTAGTCTTCTTGCAGCACTATTTGCTTGGGATCATTTTAAACTACAAAACTGCCAGAAGCACAAAAAGCACAGCAGTAAATAGACCACAGAAAGGATGTTTATTTATACTCAAGAGAGCTGCAACAAGAAGGCAGTGTTGCTTTGTTCAACCTAAGATGGCAATGTGCTTGCCAAGCCACTCTAGATTTTTGCATCCCTGACCCTGGCCTGCGGGGAGCAGCCATCTGAACACCTGTGAGTTTGCCCTTTCTTTGGCCTTTAGGAAGAAGAATCTAGCAGAGAGATTAAGAGTACAGACTACAACGGAATGAACTGAGTTCAAATCCACCTATCCTATTGTGTTATAATGAGTAACAGAATGAACTAATATAAATATGTTAGGCACTAGAAGAGTGTTTGGCATGTAAATGCTTCATCGTTGTGACCATGATCACAATCAAGGTTATTCCTTACCTCCTAGGAGCACTTATTTCAACTTCAAGTGTCTTCAATTACCATTACTCTGTCAGTTCTATAGAGAATGAAGCTAGCTTTATATTCAGAATCTCTCCAGG